TAAATCCTAAGACTAAGGCCTAAGGCTAAGGGAACCCCTCCTGCCCAGGTCCAAGTTCACAGGCCCTTAACCGGACTCCTACAGGAGCCCCCCATGGCCTTCGCCTCCAGTCTGCCCCCCTTCAGCCCATCGTACGTGCTACCGACAGAGGTTTCTGGAAGCACTGGCAATCGGGTCTGCTCCTCTCTCTTTACACCCCTCACTGGCCCCTCTGCTTACAGGTGACTCCCAGCTGCTCGGTGTGGCCCGCGTGGTCAACCCCCCACCCCCGCTGTGCTGCCTGCAGACCACGTGCCCGCGGCAGGAGGGTGAGGGGTGGAGACTCACCCAGGCCTCGGCAGCCCTGGACAGCATCTCCCTGCACGGGACCCCTCTGCTCTGGGAGGTGGCGGGCACTGCCGAGGCCTTGCTCAGGGGCAGCCAGGCCAGAACTGACCTGGCAGAGGAGGGGCAGAGGCACGAAAAGCGCGGAGAAGCAGCGCAAACCACACGTAAAGCTCCCGCCTCACCCCCAGCCCCGCACTTAGCCAACCGAGTCCCTTATCATTAAGGCAGTTTGAGTGGGAGAGCTGTTCCCTGCATACCAAAGCCTGCCGACCGGCCTGGGCGGCCTCTCCTGGGGCAGCACCGCTGCTCGGGCTGCGCGGAGCTCTGCAGCTCCCTGGCGAGGCTCCCCCTGCCACCTCACTCCCAACCGTGCCCCTGGTTCGTTCCTACCTAATCTTGAGAGGATCTCCTCCAAAAACATCTCCCCACTCCTCCTGCCAGGTGGGATTGCCTACCTTTTCCCTTTATGCCTGATGTAGCTGGATATTCCTGTTATACTTCTCGGCACACTTTATTCCAGCTGTTTGTTTGGACATCTGTCTTACCAGCTCTGTGAGGACACTGCACTCGACCTTGGCAGAGTGCCCAGCACACAGAAAAGGCTCACGGGAAGAGCACCCACCACACCGCCCGGCAAGGAGGACCATGATGTACAAGTTCCCAGTCACTATCAGTGCAGGACTTACACACACACAAAAGAGCAGCGGTCCCCCTGCGGCACCATTCCAGAACTAGACCCCAGGTTAAAAGGTGTATGTAACAGAAAGCAGATCACGGAACTACTACCCATGTGCTGTATCATAAGCACGTTAGTTAATGATAATTTGCCAGATGTGTTTCACAAGTTCGAAATTCTCTTACTGGAGAAAGGGCATGTAAGTAGACGATATTTATGTGACTTATACTTAGGACAAAAACTTCTCTTTGAGTGTGCTTGTCTTCCTCAAATGTGTTTTAAAAGATAAGGTCTAACATAGCAAGGTTATCTTCCTTTCTTTTTTATGACGCCAGAGAAGTGCTATCGAGTCCTGTGTCTAAACGGCAGTCAACATCAGTGACTGTGCAGGAACAGGTGACTTGTGAGAAGGGCAAGGCTTCTCCTTTTCGGGACAGGGAGAGACCCCTCTGAGGAGGAGAGACCCCTCTCACAAGGCAGTCACCAGACACTGCCTTTCTTCTTCCCCTTTTTGTTTCTGCCTCTGCCTGGAATGGCAAGGAAAACCGAGGGAGCAGAGGAAACAGGCGGCGTCTAACACCTGGCCGACAGCAGGTCTCACGGCGGCTGGGTCTCCACTGAGAGACTGTCAGAGGCTCTAAGAGTTCCGTCGCCTGGGGAGGGAAGAAAGGTAACAAAACTAGTTGCTGAAACATCACCCTGGAAAAGGTTTCTGACACTAAGCAAAGGATCTGAAGAGAAAACTGACCACACCATGTTAAGACGCTTAGGTTGCAACTGTCTATCTTGACATAAAGACTACTAAGGGCCTACTGTCCATGGAGTTAACAAGATGCTCTATAATTTTTTTAAATAAAAATATAGAAAAGTACGAAACATCAGAATAACAGACACTCACACACCTACCCTCCAATAAACAAAATCAGCAGCTCCATGTCTGCTTTCGGTCATTGCAGTTCAAAAGCACACAACATGTGAACACTTGTCAGGTAACCACACCCTCACAAAGTCGGGCTGTTTGAAGCGTAAGATCAAAACGATGGGATGACGGACCCACCTGGAGCCAACCGCCCCCTAATCACTCGCCAGCTTCAGGTCCAGAGCAAAGGCTCTCTGGAGACAGGCTCACTTTTGGCCTTACTCCCTGCCATGTCCCCAGCATACTGCACAGTGCCTCGCACACAGTAGGTGCCCCAGAAATGCTTAACTAGTAAGTGACTAGAGAAAGAAATAAGCAGACTGGCCTTTTAGGCCCGAGTTCCTCATAGTGATTGCTAAGAAGACAGGGCCCTGGGGACTTCTCTGGTGGTCCAGTGGTTAAGACTCTGCGATTCCACTGTACGGGGCACGGGTTCAATGCCTGGTCAGGGAACAAAGATTCCTGCATGCCACGGTTGGAAAAAAAAAAAAAAAAAAGATAGGGCCTTGGGAAGCCATGACCTTTGGGCTTATTTCCCCATGTGTAGCGAGCCAAGGGCTCCGTGTACCAGCCAGGAGGGCCCTTCTTGCTCCAAAACACTGCGCATCACCGAGAACGGCGAACGCACAAGTCTCACAAAACCATCCCACCACGCTGTTAAACACTACTTGCAAATATTCAGCTCAGGACGTTTACATTTCCTTCTTTGGTAAATTCTCAATTGATAACAGCAATTTCCAACCAAGCTCTGAAGACACTAGAATCTTCTTCCCCAGACCATGTGAGTCTATTGGGGCGGAGGGGGAAGGGGAGACTTAAACCACGATTTCACACTTAGATATTGTGCATTCCCTCCCTGTTTCTGGTATTCCTGTCCTTTAGAATATTAAAATTTCCTTTCTATGGCAACTCTGTCTTCTAGTTCATCTGACTCTTTCACTTTAATTTTTAAACTTAACTTGAGAATGAATGTGAAAATGAAAGAGTTATAAAAATGTCATCCTTCAGATCCACCAACGGACAGTAAGATTAGTGGGCAAAAGCTTGCAGAGAAACAGGGTATTTGCATAGTTGCAAAGTATCTCCCCCAAATATTTATGTTACAGAGACAGTAGTAACTTTATAGTGGAGAAACCTGGCAAACACCCTGTTAACCGAGTAATCAAGGCTCACATCGCCAGGAACTGGACATATCGAGAGCGTGTACCCCTGACAGGATGCTCTGAGCAGACACATCACTTCAGTGGTTTCCTTGCCAAAAAACGCATCATCTCGTTCTAATGATGAGAAAACACCAGACAAACCCAAACAGGGACATTCTACAAAATGACTGACTGGTGCTCTTCCAATGTGTCAAGGTCATGAAAACCCAGGAGAGACCGAGGGGCTGTCACTGACAGCAGGCTCAGGAGAAACAAGGACTAAATGCAGGGTGGCGTCCGGAGCCCGATCCTGCCTTATAAGAAGGGCTTTTGGAGGAAAAGCGGTTAAACCTGAATGAGGTCTACAGGTTAATTAACAGTACCGTACCAACGTCAGTTTCCCGCTTTTGACCAGTGTGCTACGATTGTGTAAGATGTGAGCATCAGGGGAGATCAGGTGAAGAGTACATGGAAGCTGAACTGAGAGGATTACCAGGCAGACTGTGCAGAACCCCACAAATAAATGAGAAAAATACACATAACTCACTAGTAAAAAACTGGCAAAAGACATGAATAGGCATTTCCCAGAAGAGGAAACACATACAGCCAATAAGTCTGGGAAACGTCAATTACACCCTAAGGAGATACTATAAAAATAGAGCATACCTTGGCTCCTTCGGCTAAAAGGAGATTCTTAAAAATTTTTGAAGTCTGACAACACCAAAGACTGGCAAGGATGAGAGCAACAGGAGCTCTGTGCTGCTGGCAGAAGCACAATTGGTATAATCACTTTGGAAAATAATGTGACATATCTTGTCTATTTGGAGGCATAGATGCCCTACAACTGGCCAATTCCCCTCCTTGGTAGATGTCCTGGAGGCCCCTGAACACGTGCACCTGGGGGCGCACGGGAGAGAGCGCAGTGAATTTGTCTGTAATAGCAAAACATGGAAAACGATTCCAAAGTATACGCACGAGAGAACGGATGCACGCGAGTACGTCCACACAACAGGGTAGCAGACAGCAGCGAACATGAAAGGACCACAGCCACATGCACTGCATGAATAAATTTCAAAATACTGGGTGAAAACTGCAAGTCACGGAAGAATACATACAGGATGAAACCATTTATGTAAAGTTTGAAAACAGGGAAAACTCAAGACTTTTTTAAAAATAAATACATAGTATGGCAACACCATAAAGAAAGGCAAGGGGCCGGTGACTTAAAACTTGGGAACCTGTTTCTCAGGGGCAAAGGGATGTGAAGGTCAGTGTGATTTCTGGACACCCCCCAGGGGGTGTATTTATATCAGCCGGGCACATCTATTCTAGTTATAGGAGAAATATGATACTCATCTTCATATGCAGTCAATGTTGAAGGATACTTAGGAAGAAACCAGAATGCAAATAGGCTAAACACCCCAAATTTTCTGTTTAAAGACTCATATCCTAAATGAAGCTAAGTGACAAAGATGACGAGGCTGTGTGAAACTTTCAGACCTTAAAATAAAAGGAAAGAATCCTAAGGGGACAACTTGGAAGGGTTCAGGTTAGCTTCCCAGGCATAGATCTGAAAACATTCATGATTTGCCAGGCAGGACCCATACTTCACAGCTGGAAAGTTCTCCTAAGGACACATTCATTTCCTACTATGAACAAGATCTAGAAAATGTGAGTTCCTTGAGTTACACCAATCTTGACTATTTTAAGAATCCTTCATATTCCTTGGACAGAAACATTTATCTAGTCTGAGTTAATTAATTTTGTTCCTCTCAAACCATTTAGATAGCTTAATTAGCCTCTGTTATGTGTTTCTGTTCTTAAATATCAGGGTTTAGAGCAATTTACAGCTTGCCCGTACTTTTACAGTTTTTAAAGGAAATTCTACCAAAGGTCAAGAACACAGTCGTGTAGTCCAGACAGAGGGCTCACTCACCAGCTGAAACTCGCTCCTCCGGCTGAAAGCTTCCCTGATGCCAGAATCCCTCCAGAGCGCGCTCAGAGCAGGTACGTATAGCTGAAAGGTGGCAGGCTCCACGGGCAGCCCCGCTTTGTTCTCAAAGGCCATGAGGAACATCCCGTGCTTCTCATTTTCGGAATACTGCCAAGGAATACCAAGCTTGTCTCGTGCATCAACCAGAACCCTTGAGCCCTAGGAAAGAAAAGAAATCAAAGGATTTCATTGTGCTGCAAAGGCGAAATCACAACAGAGAACCTCGATGTGGGCATTAATCGTCATACAGCAGAAAACTCACAAGCTGCAACCAGGACTTGTCTCTTGGTTTGTTTTGTCCTGGCATGAATGTCTTGCTCCCAGGAATGTAACTGTATTAAGACAGATGGACACACAGATCACATCACAGGCCTGCCCTTTGCTGTCACTCGTTTGAAAAGGTCCCGGAAGGCAGAAAATTGAATGGGGAAGAAGCGGCAACAAACTCAGCAAAGTGACATTTGCAAATGAAGCGTGAACCACGTCAGTGAAAGAGACAGTGTTTTAAGACAACTACAACTGTAGTACTACAGCTGTCATCATCACTGAAGTCTGGCAGCTCCTCAACACCAGAGGATACACTGCTCATCCCAACTTAAAAGGAGTGGGGAACGTAAACACACAGGCAGTCATGAGATGGAAACAGACCGAAATGGACACAAGTCAAGAGGCCCGCCCACTGAAAACAGGAGCTGGGGGATCACATTCTAGACTTGCGATGATGAGAAGCTATTTTTCATTGATTTGCTTATTTCCTCACTGTTAAAAATAAAGTTGGGATTTTCTGCCTTTTCCTCACCTCACTGACAGGGTCAAGGGGACAGAGACACAGCCTAAGCTAAAATAGTATTAGGGAAAGTGGCCAAATTGTGGAAAATACTGTCGTGGTGAAAACTGCCTCCCTGGGCAGGAAGGAAGTAGGTCTATTCCATCTTTCTCAGGTGAGTACTTCAAAGTTAGCAACACAGCATCTGAGGAAGTTTCTAAGTTCTCCGGACTGGAGCCCCTGAACACTCCCTGGCAGCATCAGTACTGGATGAGCCAGAGCAAAAGGGCCCCTCCCTACCTGGAAAGGCCTTGGCTGGCTCCGAGTGGCTGGGGGCCTGGGGCGATGGACAGCAGTGCCCTGTCCCCTAGCGCAGAGGGCGGCAGGACACCACTGCCCAGCTGGTACTCGCTGTTTTCAAAACAAAGAACAGCCTTTTGGAGTGTAAGTCACGTAACATACAATCGCCCACTGACAGTGTGCAGCTCGACGGTTTACCCCAAACCAGGGCAAAGGAGACGCGTCCGTGCTGCCTGCCTCTGCTGTAGCACCTGCCTTGAACCACCAAGGTGAGTGGTAATGGTGACCAGAAGCTAGCTACAGTCTCCCCTCCAGACCCAGGGACCTGGACTGCCTGGTTAGAGATGTTCCTGTGAGCTCCCTCCTCAGGGTCCATATGCCCATCTGCCACCGGTGGCCATGGCCTGTCCTTCTGATCCACAAACTTGTTTAATGCTTCCCTGGGGCGAAGCCCTGAGATAGGCACTGTGGGAAAAGAAAATGCTTATGAAGCAATGTCCGAGCGCTGGACGCTCAGAATCTGGCTAGGGAGACAGATATGTGGATTAAAAAAATTAACACCCATTGGGCTTCCCTGGTGGCGCAGTGGTTAAGAGTCCGCCTGCAGATGCAGGGGACACGGTTTTGTGCCCCGGTCCGGGAATAGCCCACATGCCGCGGAGCGGCTGTGCCCGTGAGCCATGGCCGCTGAGCCTGCGCGTCCGGAGCCTGTGCTCCGCAACGGGAGAGGCCACAACAGTGAGAGGCCCACGTACCGCAAAAAATAAATAAATAAATTAAAAAATCAACACCCACTAATAATAAAAACTCCCAGAAAACTAGGAATAGAGAACTTCTTTAACTTCATAAAGAACATGGGCAAAAACTCTCAGCTAACATCAAAATCAATGGTGAAAGACTGAATGCTTCCCTCTAAGAATGAGAACAAGACAAGGATGCCCACTTTTATCACTGCTATTCTGCATGGTTCTAGCCAGTGTGGTAAGGTGAAGGAAAGAAATATAAGGTACATGGATTAGAGAGAAAATAAATAAAACTAAGCCTATTTACAGATGAAATGATGGTCTACGTAGAAAATCCAAAGGAATATACCAAAGAAACTCCTAGAATTCAAGTTAATTCAGCAAGGATATAGGATATAAAAATCAACCTACAAAAGTCACCTGGCTTTCTATATACTAGCAATTAACATATGAAAATTGAAATTTAAAATGCAATACTATTAATAATCACACAAAAATGAAACACTTAGGTATAAATCTAACAAAACATGTACAGGATGTGTATGCTGAAAACTATAAAATGTGTTGATGAAAGAAATGTGTTGATGAAAGAATTCAAAGATCTAATAAATGGAGGGACATACCATGTTCATGGATTGGAAGCGTCAACATAATAATGATGTCAATTCCCTCCAAATTGATATACAGGCCTAACAATTTCTATAAAATCCCAGCAAAATCTTTTATGGATATAGATATAGATATAACTATTCTAAAATTTATATGGAAAGGCACTGGATTAACTAAAACAATTGTGAAAAAGAAAAATTAAGGGGGAGGAATCCAATTTCCAGATTTATTACATAGCTACAGTGAGCAAGACTATGAAGTATTGGTGAAGGACTAGACACATAGATCAATGGAACATAACAGAAAACCCAGAGATGGTCCCACATAAGTATGGTCAATTGATTGTTTTGAAGACCCAAAAGCAATTAAATAAAGAGTAGCCTTTTCAATAAATGATGTTGGAGGAATTGGATGTCCATAAGCAAAGGAAAAGAAAAAAACCAAAACCTTGGCCTAAACCTCACACCTTATACAAAATTGACTCAAAACGTAAAACTACAGCATAGGAGGAAAACTTCAGGACCTACAACTTGGCGAACAGTCCTTAGACATGACACAAAATGCATGGTTCATAAAAGAAAAATATCGATAAACTGGACTACATCAAAATTAAAGCTTTTGCTTTGCAAAAGACTCTCTTAATAAAATGAAAAAACAAGCTAGTGACTGGTAGAAAATATCTGCCAACCACATATCTGACAAAGGACTCATATTTAGAATATACAAAGAATGCTCAAAACTCAACAGTTAAACAATCCAGTTGGAAGGTGGACAAAGGCATGAAGAGTTGTTTCACCAGAGAGCACACACACAGCAAGTAAGCAGATGAAAAACAGGATGTCCAAGTTCACCGGCCATCGGGGAAAAGCACACTAAGACTGTGATGAGACATCACTACACGTCTATTAAAACAGCTAAAACAAAAAGCAGTGACAACAAGTGCAGAGATCTGTGATCTCTAACACACTGCTGGTGCACATGTAAAATGGGACAACCACTCTAGAAAATCGTTTTTCAGTTTCTTAAAAAAATTCAACATACGCTTAACATACAACCCAGCAACCTCACTCCTGGGCATTTATCCCAGAGGAATGAAAATTTATGTCCACACAAAAACCTGTGCAGGAATGTTCACAGCAGCTTTATTCACAATGGCCACAAACGAGAAACAACCCAGATGTACTTCAATAAAACAAATGGTTCGACTGTGGTACCTCTGTACCATGGAATACTATTCAGCAATGAAAAGGAACGAACTACTAAAGCACACAACTTAGATGGCTCTCAAAGGTCACATACTATGTGATTCCATTTATATAATATTCTTGAAGTGAAAAAATCACAGGGATGGAAAACAAAATTAGTGGCTGCTAGGGATTAGGGCTGGTAGAGGAAAGAGGGTGAGTGTGACTAGAGAGGGGAGGGGGATCTCTGTGGTGACGGGGCAGTTCTGTATCTTGATAAGCAGCGCTGGTTACACAAAACTACGCAGGTGATAGTTAGTCTCAGAATCCCACACATACTTTGTGCCAACGTCAGTCTCCTGGTTTTGATATGGCACTATAGATACATAAAGTGTAACCACTAGGGGAAATTTCCTGTGAACCTATAATTATTTCAAAATAAAAGTAAAAAAAAGTTAACTAGCAATTACAGCGATATATGTTCCAATGACATGGTGTGGAAAGGGAAGATTACTAGAGGCCAAAGGAAGAGAGACTGGTAGGAAGAGGTGAGGCTCAGAAAACCCTAAGTGCCGAATAATTTCAACAAGTGCCAACAGTGCATCAGAACCGACCCAGAAGGGAAACAGGACTCAAATCAATCCTCAGCTCACCTTCCTCCCTGTCCCCTCCTCCACCCATTCCTGCACTCTCTCTGGCGACATCACCCCGACTCCCCCACCGCCCCAGAGGACAATAGTTAAAATGTTCCAGAACCATGGAGACAAAGATGCTTCACATTCTCCACATTACGCGCAACAGCAAGCATCCGAGCACAGAGAAAGGAGAAGCGATTTCTCTGGTGAGCTTCTAGGCAAAGGGTCACAGCACCTTTGTGTGAATCACAGGAAGGTTCCCGCAGGCTCGGCAAGGAGCTGGGTCAGGACTTCAGCCCCACCTGCCCCCGAGTCAGGCAGCCAACACACCTACCATTCATGATGGCTCTGCCCGCACGACTCAAATGCAGCACCTCCGACTTGACACAAGAGCTATCTTTCCAGGGCTCTGTTTATGAGTTAAAAAGTTTACTTCCCAAGGAGCACACACAGCCTCACTCAGGGGTTAAGGCGAGTCTCTGCTCCCTCGGGAACTGATGTTGGAGGCAAAGGCAGGGAACCAAACAGGCCTTTAGAAGCCTGAGCCGTCGTTTACCAAGACTGCTTTCAATGCTGCACAGACCAGGCCTGCCCTAATTACTGGGGTGAACATAGGTTTGGCTTAAAAAAGCCCGGTGTATCCAAAAGCAGCCTGTGTTCCCACTGCACACTGCCACCCAGGCAAGCTGGAACTGGTCCAGATTAACTTCACCCAAACACGAAGAAAAGGCTCCTTATTTCTCCTTTTTAGAAATTCAGGGAAATTGGCAAAACTGCTGACCAACTTTGAATTCTACCAGTGAGCTATAGTCCATTTTCTATATCTTACTCACTTCATTTGGAGGGAAAGGGCATCAAGAAAAAAAGATCTCTCTTTTGCCCTTATTTTAAATTATTCTAGCCAAAAACTACTCTCTGTTAA